ATATGGACTCGACCCGAACCCGAAGCGGGTCGGGTTGGAGTCCAGAAAAACCGACCCGTTTGCAAACCGGGTTGGGTTCGAGTTGACCCGAAAACCTGGGAATGATCCGAAAAAAGGCTGCACCCGTGTTGCCTACTATACCTCAGTTGCCACATCTTCCTGCTGCCCTGGCTGCCCACGTGACTACGTGGTGCTATCGTCTACATCGAATCGCATCGGGCTGAGGTCGAGTCTAACGTCTGCGCGTCGCCTGCCAAAGTCACGTCGCCGCCTGAACAAATCACGTCGCGCCTGAACAAATCACGTCGCCACCTGACACCTACCCGCGTTGCCTGCCAGCGCTGCTGCTGCGCCCGCCGGCGGCTTCTGCCGTGTCTTGCTGTTTGAAAAATGCTAGAGCACCGAATCGTGTGCGGGCGTGTGGAAATGCCGAAGCACCGAACCTGAAGCAGGTCGGGTCAGGTTGACCCAAAACCCGAACCGGGTCGGGGTCGAGTGACCCGAACCCGAAGCGGGTCTGGTTCGGGTCCGAAAAATCGACCCTTTGAAAAAAATCGACCCGACCCGTTTGTAAAAATCGACCCGAACCCGTTTGTAAAAATCGACCCGTTTGTAAAAATCGACCCGTTGTAAAAAATTGACACGTGATCTGAAAAAACAAAACAGTAAGAAAAATATCCGAAATGAAGTCTAAGACTTCATTTGAGACACCTTTCTTTCCGTTTTCGGAAGCAACTTTTTCATAAATTAGTAAGAAAGCAATCTCAAATAAAACCTAAATAAAAATTGACCAGCTATGTGATGTTCTATTTATATATAATTACTGCATTTTTTTTTTAATCACTTTTGAAAAAGCAGACACCATCGTCGCCAAGATAACTACCACGTCTACTTCTCAGGTAAATATTATTGCGTTAGTCAAACACTCCATAAGCATACATAGAAAACATCAGCCTCAGCACTTTGCTTTGAAAGGTTTGATAGCCATTACATGTTCTAGAAGACATTAATGCTGGCCTGGGAGCCATGCATGCCACCCACACGTGCCAGGAAAATTAAACTATTAAATTATTTTTAATATATTTTAATATTAATTTAAAATAAATATGATAATTTTAGATTTATAGTAATTAAATTATTATTAAAATATTTTGACATAATTATTTTCACCTATGTAACTCAAGATAAATCGAATATATTTTTTTTTAACACAAAATAAAATTATATTAATAAACCAAAAAAATTA